GACCTATCTGCACTTTTAATATTGCAAGTGAGAAAAGGAACTTTTGTTAGCTAATATTGAACCAATATGCTAGATGTTTGTACTCTGGACAGGGTGTCACAGGTTGTCTGTTTCATTTGACCAGAAATGCTACAATATTCTTTTTTCTTCTCTTCTTTTACCCACTTCTGCCCTCAGGCAGTTCCCAGAACTCAGAAAATCAAGATTTTTTTCTGTTTACATGCAGCTGATAAAGATATCAAAATAAATAGCATCAATTGGGCAAACTAATAATTTTCTTCTGCCCATGGGAAACGGTTGTAAAAGGACAGTCTTGTCTCCTACAAGCTCTGGAAAGCTGATGATAATCACTGGAAGTGATGGGAGGGAGTTGTTTTGTGAAATTTTTTCCTCCGAGATAATTTTAACTTAATGGGATGACCATCTTTCCCTTAACAAAAAAAAATATGTGTGTTATCTATGATGCCTTGGGTGTTACTGGTTTTGGACTGAGCCAAAGCATGCTAAAGCACTGGCGTAGCTTCTGTGGATTTATGTGGATAAACTTTGGGTGAATCTCTAAAACACTTCCAGGGCAGACTTTTTGGAGCCCTATGACAGGTACAGAGCAGGGAATTCAGGGTGGTCTTTTAGACTTATGAAGTCTGGGTTTGGAGACCGTCTGCTTTTCCTCTTTATTATTTCCCTGGGGTTGTAACAACACGAGTTCGTATCCCCTGTAATAGTACATTTCCCCACAGAACATCCTGGCTGGGAATGTAACACACCAGCTGCATTTGAGTTCTTACAGAAGCTTTTTCATGCTAGTTTTCTTTGAGTAAAAGCTGTCATTAACTGTTAAATATTTGCTGTTGCAACAAAAGCTGAACAGAACTGGTGTTGGTAGTTACAAGAGCTAAGGGCTATAGCTTTTTCTTTCAAATACTTTTAGTTTTGTGTAAAAGTGTTTCCTCATCCTTGTCTTGCTTTGGATTACTTGTTTATTCAGTGCAATATTGATGCATTGTAATAACAGATTGGTACATTCTGAAGCAGAGATTTTCAGTAGTAGCACAAGAGTGGCAGAAAGCAAATCACTGATATAAATGAATGAAGTATTTGAAATATGTACCTGTCTGCATACATCTTCCTCTTAAACTCTTAAGACCTAAAGCAAATTGGTTTTGTTTTTACTTTAAAAAATCCAGGTAGCTCTGTCAATGAGTACTCAGTATTCCCTTTATTCCTGCTGCAAAGGATTCTTGCTAACTCTGAGCTTTTAACTACTTCCAGTTACAGTGAGACAGTGAGCCATTAGTTCATCTTCCTCCCCTTCATTTAGGTTAAAAGATATAATGAAGGTCTTTGGGGGTTAACATTATGATTCTTTGGCAGGTGGAGCTTTAACCTATAGGTTATAGTAATGCAGTGATCAAATGTCAAGAAAACAGCGCTGGTATTAGACACCCTCTTGATCGTTACTATTCGTAGGATCTGCTCAAATCCTATTACAGGCTTCATTTTGCAGAACACTTTCTTTTCTACATAAAATGAATTTCTCCATAAAATCTAGCAGAAGTCATAATAATTAAAGGATGTAACTTCATAAAAAAAGGATACATTTCATTTCTAGGAAGCCGATGTGATTGATTCATACAACTTGTTACTTCAGAGGTTTATTGAGTGATATGTCATGGGTAAGTGCAATTTTTAAAATCCATACTCTGTTCTGTAGTACAATATATCAGAGGATGTTTGAAGGGCTTTTCTTCTACCTTGGCATTTATATACTGTTTAGTCTCACTGTTATTAAACATGTTGCATACACTTCACGCACGTGTGCGTGCCTGGGACTGTGACCAGGCATTTAATAGCGGCATCTGTAGATTACAGTTAGCTTTCACAGATATATTTCAGTGTGGCTGGATTTGCAAGCTTTTCTAGTTATATGCTGAAATGACAAAATGCGTCCAAGAACAAAAGACTCCTAACTTTTCTGTTCTACTTCAAGAATCAGTTGCTGTTAGAAATTACTCACCTACATAAATATACAGTTGCACTAATATTGAGCTCACATTTTTGTTGTTTGTGGAAAGTGCTTTAGCCTTAGTGCTGTGCTTAGCTGTATTAAATCCCATGCGAAGCACATCGTTTCCACTTACTTTATCAGTCAAAACAACAGCATGTTGAGGACTGTGATACCTGTGCTAAGATAAGTTTATGTGTGATAATGCAGAGAAAAGTAAGGATAGATGTGGCACCTGATGTAAATCTAAAGAATTATTTTGATTTCTGAAGCTGAAATTGAGCTTGTAACCCTCTAAATTGGAGATGTAAAAATGATTTGAGTTTTGTCCCTCAATAATATAGACCAGATGTTTGTGATTACTGTTCTGTTTGGAAGCTCTGCTTCATTTTAAGGTATTCTGTTGCATGGTTTTGATTCTGCAGCACTTATTTTCACAAATACCTGCCTTCCTAACCTAAAATATTAAGGATCTGAGCAGGTAGATACCCTATTTCAGTGTAAGTGTGTTATTTCAGATTGTGTGTAAAGGTCTGAATTGTGTATTAGAAAGTACTAAATAAGAAATCTATATCTCAATAACTCTAACTTGTCTGTTTCTCAGCATTAATTTCCCTTGTATGTATGCTAAATGCCTTTAACTTTTTTGAGAACAAAGTGATGAGTATCTACTAAATATCTGTAAAAGATATTTCATTTCAGCTTATTAAGCTCGTATATGGAAGAGTCAGAAATCAGGAAGCTTTATTGCAGTGGTATTTCCATTACTTCAATATATAGCTATATAATTAAAAACTAAAGAAAGCAGTTATAACTTTTCTTCTGTAAATATTACTTTCTATTGCAGAATATCAAAACATTATTTGTAGTCTGTCATATTCAAGCAGATTATGTTTATGTATAACTAGTTAAAGTAAAATATTATCAAATATAGGAAACAAAATGGTATTTTCACCAAAAATCTTCAGATGAGTGAAGTCAGCTACTTACTCCAGTTCAGTTTGAGAAGTTACACAAATTCAATATTAAAATATAACAAAATCATAACTTTCACGGTAGGTATTTTTTTCTGATTACATTTAGAAAAGTACCTGTGGGAGGAGACACAAATTCAGGCTACCAAATTTTTCATAAGCAGCTGCTACACATTCAGCTCAAGCTCAGTGAAATGCTTGAGATTTCTTGTGCATAATAATTTCTTTAAAAATATTCCAAGTTTTCAAATTTTCCTGCTGGCTACCCACTAAAACTGTTGTAATCAAGTTTTTGTTGTGGTTTGTTTAGAGGTTTGTGTGTCATCTACTCTGAGACCAGACATGATGCAAGCAGTATTAGTTTTCCTCCAAAAGAATTACTGAAGTTAGTCTTGCCAAAACTGAGTCAGAAATGCAGAAAGCCAGAAAAATTGCTACTGGAACTGATTTTTTTAAACAATCATAACATCAATTCAAATATAAGTGATAACTTCTGCCGATCTGCAGACTGCTATGAAGACTAAGTGGATTATTTGTGTGCTGTGTCTTTCTGTCCTTGAACTGCCCTGCTGGCAGTTCAAAGCAAAGTAATAATGGTGAGTTTTTAAACTCTGTGTGCCTAAGGATTGATAAAACTATGTAACACTTTTCACACAAATACAAGACGCAAATCTTTTCAGATATGTATTCCCCTTCTTTTTTAAACAGATGAGCAAAAGACTTCAGATTCCATAGATAAAGTGTTTATACACAAAGTAGTTTAGTTAGTATAGGAATAGCTGGAAAATTACTATGGTGTGCTTTGATTTCACAGAACTTTCTAATAATAAAATAAATCTTTTCATGGATTACATGTATAGCCGATGACTAGAACACCATAAATTATAGTATATTATGAACATGTATATGAATCTATAATGGTATGTTATGGCAGTAGAAAGATGATGTATATATACTATTACGAGGTGAATTGTCCCTAATCATCTCTCTTTAACCATCCTAATTCGCACTGACTGCAGTCAAGCCCACAAGGTTTGATCTAATCTGAGATGAACCAGTTTGTAGCAGATGTTTCTATATTGCTTCTATTCCTAACTTCAAATGCCAGCAGATTTGCAATCTGGAAAATAATTATAATAAAAAAAAAATGCTATCAGAAATTTTAGGATTTGAACTATGACACTAAAATGATCTAAAGCCTAATTGTCTTGTATAAAGTTGCAGAAGGTCATACTACAAGGTTTATAAATTGGAGGTTTAACCTTTTTTCCTAATTAGGATGATAAAATGAAGCTCAAGGATATGTACAAGGTTATCATATATAAGGAATGTTTCCCTGTTGGGTATCCTTTGTAAAACACCTTCAGACAGCATTTTTTTATTAAAGGCATTGCTACTGATTTTTCTGGGATATATTTATGTTTTTTTTTTTAATCCTGGCTTTACAGTTTAAACAGCTTTGTTTTTTATTGCAGTTGCTTTGTGGTAGATACTTTGATAACTTTTGAAGAAAATATGTTGAAATAAGCAAGAGTGGGTGGAGAGTTAGAATCAATAAAAAAGGGGAAAAACTCCCAAGGCTTTTTCTGTCTTGTGGTAAAGTCTTGGCCCCACATCCCAGAACTGCTGACAGAAGCACATAACCTCATGCTTCTGATCAGGACCAGGGGTTATTTTTGCCTCTTCTCCTGTTTGGGTGGGAGGGGATGTCAGATTACTTTGGAGGATCTCTGCTCTGCTGCTGGGAGATAGAAAAGTTCCCAGTGGTGTGGTAAAGGAGCAGGAGCTGGCCTCAGTTCCCTGCGACCCTGCACTCTCTGCACTAATGTGGGAGCTGAGTGCTGTACGGCAGTGTTCCACCTCTCTTGCTTTGCCATACCCAAAAGGCACCCACCTAGTGCAGTGGTTAACTCCATTTCAAAAGAGCAGACAGTGAAATCAGTGCTGTTCAAGACAGGAAAAAGCACTGTTTCTAGGGCACCTTAATTTCAAGGATGCTCAGAAACCTAAGTGCGGGAGAGATGGCGTGCCCTCTTACAACAGTACTTGCTTTTGTCATTTTAGAACAAAATTCTGGTAAATCAAGTAGAGGGCTTGCAACAGTGAGTTGTTTGGTTTTTTTTTTCCTATTGACTTTACTCAGAAAAGCTTAAATCCTGTAACTTGTTCTTTAGCTGAGGCATGAATGGCTTTGTCTTCCCATTTTCCTTTTGGGCCTTTTTACAGATAATAACTGCTTTTCAATTTGTCTTAAATTTTACTTGAATGTGTGACAAGTGTAGTTCCACTGGAGCGATAAGATGTCACCCCTCATCTCCCTTTGCCAAAATATGCACAGCAAAAATGAAAAACTAGTGAGTGTCAAAACACTGGAGAAATATGACTTGACTGTGACAACTAGTTTTATTTTTCTTATTATGAATGCTACAGTTTTTAATTTGTGAGTCAAGATTTTTTTTTAGCTCACAACATACTTAATTTTGCTCACATACCCCCAAAAAAGACAATATCCATTTTTTAATGGAAATAACTAGTGAAATAAATTTGAACATTTTCATATTTTACTGTTTTTAATGCATGCACTGCAGATGTTGTATTGTCAGGAGAACACTGCGCATGGAAAGTCAAGGAGGAGATATCAACTAGCCTTTCTTGCAGATAATGAGATGTAAATGCAGGAATGAATATTATTATGTAGATGTCTTCCTGGGAGAACCATTTGTTGGGTTATGCTAGCAGAAAGGCCTGTGAGCGATGCTTCAGCACCCGTCCCGGTCAGCGATGGTTTCTGTTGGTAACTGGGAGCTGACTTACTGCTGCTTCTCTCAAGAGACAACTGTTTCTACAGCTAGGGACAGAAAATTATATTTTTAGGTTTTTGGTTTTCCAATATACCAAGATAGTGATTGCCATTTGTAACATCTTTTAGACAGGGAGATTGCAGAGCATCTTAACTGGTTTGGCAAAAAACCTTATAGTGTTGTAAGCTTCTTTTATGGCATTAAAAAAATAGAAAAAGATGGATGTTTTTTTCTTTTGTTTCTGTTTTTTTTGACTCTGAGGTGGAATTTCTGGAATAATATCTAGAGATATGTCAATAAAAATCCCATCTCTAAATATTAGTGATGACTGGCAGAACTTTATTAGCTACAGCTGTGGATAAAAAGAAATGTAAATCTCAATATCATCTGTTGTAGATGACTAGGAAAAGGCTTCAGAAATCTCTGGAGAATGAAAAATCCCATGTAAGATTCCCGGTGTAAACCAAATATTTTAAATTATTTTAGGAAAAGGAAACAACATTCCTCTTTCTAGAAAACTAATTTAGTCAGTGGTTTTCCTATAATGTGTGTTTTAATGGATTTATCATGAATAATCATGACAACAACAAACCGAACTGTATGATATGAACATGAAAAATAGTGATCCGTTCAGGGGTCGAACTTTTGCATATATTAGTCAAGAATATTAAAAAATATGAACATGCTTGAAAGGTGAGCTGAGAGGCGAATTAAGCAGAAGAAAAAGTAAGAAAAGAATTATGCAGAGATTTTTGTCATGAATCAGTCTATTGCAGTATTTCAAGGAAAATATAAAAAAGTGATGTCTAAAGATTAATAGAAATGGAGCAGCACTGAAGTGGAATTTCTGACTGGAAAGATTTCAGAAATTGTTTGGGGGTGATAAGGTTATATTGTTGCAGATCTGGAATCCTTTTCACTTGCTAACAAGACGAGGCTACTCAGAGTCCATCTTTTGGAACAGAGGCTACTGTCCCTTGCAAGCTTGTACATCGTAATGAAAATTATTCCCATATGATACTGCAAGGGGCAACAAATCAGGCTCATCATACCACAAGTATGCTGAGTTACTGCCATCGCCTGCTGATATATAGTTGCATAAGTAGTAGGATCCAGAGGAATATTTTTTTCTGCCTTGCCCATGTTGTAAAACTGAGACAGGAAGGATGTTTTTTAAAAAGATTCTGCTATGTCATGGACTCAGCAGGTAATTTCAATAGAATCCTTCTCAGGTTTATGTAGGACAAGTTTTTGTCCTTCTAATTGGTACATTAATAAAAGGAAATCTAAACATAGCATGTACTTAAGGCTATCTTTCTGAATTTCCCCAGAAAAAAAGCTACCATATAGGGTTAGTCTTCATCTTGTTTGCTCTCAGTACAAAATTTTTAAATCATTTTTGTTGAGCAGTGAGTGGTCATCCAAGAATGCTGTAAAACTGATAAAAAGATCAAATATTTGGCATTTCTTCAACTATGCATGTGTGAAAAAACAGACACTTAAATCTCACAGGAATTTCTAAATATTATGGAAACAACACTGAGAGTGGTTGTCATTTTCTCTGTTATTAAAGGGCTATGCTGATTTCTTTCACAATGGCTACCCCAATTATATGAGCATTTTAGAAGTCCCTCAGAAGTTTTGATTACATCCAATGTCATCCTAAACTAGGCTAGGGATAAAAGAGTATCCCACAGTTTGTGAATAATTGAGTAGGCTTCTGTATAACAATGAGGTGCCTTATGAAAGGCAAATGTTTGTTTGCTGTGTGCTCACATCTGCATCTATTTATTCATATTTATAGGTAAATTCATGTGCTAATGCTTTGTTAGACATTGAGATACAAACTGTCTGTTGGTGTAACCAGATAAAATGCTGCCAAAATGCAGTGGAAGTGTAGATGTTCATACCAGCTTTAAAAGTGATTGTAGGTTAAAAAAAAAAATAAATTCCAAATGCAAGGTTGTATATTGGCATGTGTACATGTCAAATCAGGAGTCTTCTTCAAGCCATTCTGTTCTTCAGATATCTCCTCTCCCTGAAGGTCTGGAAAAAAACAGATGTCAATACATTGAAGCAGTAACAGTCGAAAGGTAAATCTTATGGTTCCCTCCTCTTGCTGTTCAGTGTTCTCCTTTAAAAGCAAGGACTGATTATTCCTGGAGTCTAAACGCTGAATGAAGCCTTTGCATTCATCCCAATGCTGAAATTTGGTAAAAGCCTAATAAAGAGCAACCTTACAGATATCTAGTGTCTGGCCCTCTTCGATGGATACTTTGAAGGGCCTGCTAATAAGGGTGTCAAAGCCTTCCTCTTCATTTTTGTGACTTTAGCTTTGACACTCTTCCAGATTGATACCCATTGAAAAAAGACTGAAGCTGCCATTCAGGAAAGCCTGCTCATTTATCACTGAAGGAATTGCCTTGGAGTATGCGTTAGATGACCTTTTGTCTGGAAAAGATTCACATCCTTGCAGGGAGAAATCTGACTCGTTGACTTCGCTTGTCTAGTTTTCCATTTATTAGGGATACTACTGATGTACTAGATCTATCAGATACTTTGAATTGTAACAAAATACAACTGTGCCATATTAAAAAACAAATAAACAAAAAACCCCAAACAAAACCTGAAAAACCTTACTCTGTCAGTTGACACAAAGCTTCTGTTACCTTATCACCAGCTGTCCAAATTTCATGTTCAGTAAAACGTGGATACCGTGTTTGTGGTAAAACCCACCACCACTGATGGTGAGGACTGTAGGTCGATCTGTTTTTCTAAAGAGAAGTCTGTGAGAACTGTAAACCATTAAGGGCAGATAATGGAAATCAATACAAGATTTGAAATGAAGGCAATGGGTTTTACCTTGATAAAGAACTTGTTAGGAAAAGACTTTCCTCAAAGGAAGAGAGATGAACTGAAAATACACGTAGCATAATAGTCCACCCAGATCCCTGAAGAGCCAGGAGTATTATTAAAAGCTACACTTTTGTTAAATGAATAAATACATCCATTTTAGATAGTTGGTACTATTGCTTCTAATACAGTCAAAATAGAACAAATATTCTGTACCTCTACGTTATCTGCAAAAGGGTAGATTTTTACAGCATAACACTGTGAAGAGTTAATATGGGTTAAAACTGTGGCACCAGTGCTATAACTTTGGTAAAATAAGTTGCAACACGGCCAGGAAGTGATTTGAAGAAAGTACTATCTAATAAAGATGGTTTATGATGTCCCACAGTGTAATGACACTTTTTTCAGGAAATAGGATATTGTCTTTGCTTTCCCCCAGGTTAGGTGATGTAATTTCTGAGATAGGAAGTACAGTTGCACAGCTGCCACTTTACAACCTTAGCAGAAAAAAAACTGACTTGCATGCTTTGTAACAAGTATACTTGCAGAGGATTTCATTAAATGCTATGTTTTCTTCCAAAAGTCTTCATAATTAAACATATTGATAATGTAGTCCAATGGTGGGTTTTTAAAAGAAAAACACTACTTTGACTGATAACATTCATCTGAGATAATGACAGCAGGATAGTATCGGTATGGTCATATCAGAATCTGACTAATGAAGTTTAATTATTTCAATGACACTGTATTTGATGTTTATACTCAGTTTACACAGCATCACACTGAGGGGAAAACTCCTCACTTTATGTCTCCCTACTCATATTTCCGTATTGGTTTTTTTTTTGTCATGAGATGTGTTTGATCTGATCCAAATTCAATAGTACTGTACTTCTTGTGTTGTGTGATTAAATTTTATAGAATTTCTGAAGAAATAAGGCTCTTCACATATGGGCGGTGGAACCATAACTAGCATTGGGTTTTTTTTTTGTTTTGTTTTTTAATGTATCCTTGAAATGATAGCATAAAATTCCGTATGGTATTGTTTATAGAGCTGTACAAGTATTGAAGAGGAGAATGAAGTAAGCTATTTTCTTAGATTATAAAATTAGATTAATATCTAATCCCTCACTTGCATAGTATGGTCTAGAGAATTACCTGTAATCAGCTTCTCTTTGAACTGCAAATGTATTTTTATTTGATAATTCAATCCTGGTTTTAAACTTCTGGTTATGTCAATACCACCAGAACGCTTGGCAAATAGTCTAATGAAGTACCCTTGTTGCTTAAAAATGCATTTCAAGTAAAATCTAGTGTGTTTCTCATTAAAATGAGAGGATAATATTGTTTTGTTTTGTATTTCCTGGAAGATTTTATTTTTCACCAAGCATTCCCAAACTTTTATAATCTGCATAGTTTTTCCTTAGAAAGTTTGTAATTGAATTAAGTGAGAGAACTAGATCTTGTTCTCCAGCAGTGGTCACATTGGTGCTTATTTCAACTTTGTGTTTTCTTTTCTGTGCATACGAGCTTATACTAAGTGCTCATTACAGTGTTGTATTAAAAGCTGCAATGAAAGTCTCTCAATACTTTCACCGATATAGAGTATAAATGTGAAAGCTAGAAATACATATAGTCATTTCTGAAAGTATTTTCTCTAATGAAAGCGTTATGATTCTTTTCGTTTTCAAAGTTCATGAATTTACTTGCAACTCAGGAATTGTCATGTTTGGCATGCATGAACGAAATTGAAGCAAAAAGATCTACAAAGAACTGACAACCAATATGTATAAATTGAGGAATTTGGGTTACCTGAATAGAAATAATTGATGGTCTCAGAATCTGCCAGACTTTTAAAATAAAATATTGTCATTTTAAAATTTCTTCCTAAGCCAATTATGGAACTGAATGTATTTATGATATTGTCCACCTTTAAAGAAAGGCTGATATAATCTATTGATTTTGTTTGCAGATTTTCAGGCGTTGTTGGCTGGTTTTCAAGAAGGCTTCCAGTAAAGGACCCAGGAGGCTAGAAAAATTTCCAGATGAGAAGGCAGCATATTTCAGGAATTTTCACAAGGTAAGTCGTGCCTT